TACAGGCCAGGCCTGTCCTCAGGTACCCTCCCCAGTGATGTATAGGACACTGTGTAGGGTCCACTGTTTTGGACCCTGACACTCTGCTGGATCCTATCTGTGCCATGCCCCTGCAGCCCTCTGAGTGGATGCAGGGGGCTGTCAGAGGGGCTCCGAGAATACAAAGGGAGCATAAGTACTTTTGGACCCCAGAGCAGGACCCCTCTCAAGATGATGCCCTTTGCAGCTGTATGGGACTCTGGAAGCATAGGACCCAGCATGAGTTTCCTCACTGGAGCAGTGCTATCATGCAGACTCCAGGAGAGCTCCCTATAACAGACTCCGGACCCAAGGGGGTTGGGCTTTGAGGGGCTCTCCCATGGCTAGGAGTGTAGAAGTCTGCAGTGGGCATACAGACACTGCTGGGGATCCCTTTCCCTGCCCTGGGGAGGCTCTCTGGACTTGGACTGATCCTGGCCAGCCGTCTGCCTTGCCTCCCTCTGCTTTGGTGCCTCAGGTGTTTCCTGTCACCTCTCTGCTGGAGCAGCTTCTTTCTTAGGTGTTGTATTCCAAGTGTCATTATCTACTTGCTATTTTGGTTCTGAGGCGGGGGTCTGATGCCTCTAGTGAGCCCCCTTGAAGCCCCTCTCAGGCAGTGTTCATTTTGAGCTAATCTGTGGACAGACTATAAAACACAAAAATATCATACCAGTTCTAGAATGTTCTCCATAGCCATATTGGCTCAGCCACAAAAGCATTGCCAGGGCTTGACGCCTGGTATTTTGTCAAACTCTCAGTCAATTCTTGGTGGATGGATAAATGAATGAATGACTTTAGATGTGCAGCCGCAATGACGAGCGTGCTTGAGCATGCTGTGCTGTGTATCTCGACAGACTATCACCGGTTGCTTTTAATGTTGGTTTAGTTTTAATACATTGAGATGAGAACATATGTGTGCATTATAGGAAGATCAATTATGAGGGACTCAAAAATGTGCTTTGAATATTTCCTTACACATCCTTGCTTCAGTATTTGACTAATAAATCCTGAATTTCCCTGTGAAACAACATAGCCTGGGATTGTTGAGTTGTTTTTTCTTTTTAAACATCATTGTTGTAATACAAAGAAAGCATGAGTGAGCAGCAGGAGAACGGAGCTGCCTTTCAGACCTTCGGATGAGAAAATTCCCAGAAATGTTGGGAACTGCCGGAAATGCCTGGTTGTTAATGCATCTGGCCATGCGGAGTCTCGTGGGCTGAAGGCCAGACAGTTCCCACTCTGTTTTGTGACAGCTCCACTCTGGGGAGCAAGGCCAGTTCCTCCAAATGAGCAGCTGTGTAACAGACCATGACGACGTGGCCAAGATGATTCTCAGGGCCATTTCCCCTCCACGGCTGCTTGCCTTCTTCATTAAGGAGGTGCCTGTGATAAAAGTGAGGTTGACTTTCTTTTTCCTGCTAGCATACCCCTCACAGGATTCTCCTGCCTTGTAGCATAGATTTCCACCTCCTAAAGGCATAGCCTGCGTCTAAATTATCTTTGCGTCTCTTCCCTTTCCTACCTCATAGCACCATCATGCTTAGTCCAAAGGGAGCACTCCGTAAAAGATCAGTGAATTGAACCAAACACCCACCGGATCCAATCCCAGCAATAATCACTCTAATCATTTTACACAAAACGGAATCATCCCTTTGGCAGAAGTCAGAAAAGGCATTTGGAACTGCGACTTGACTTCTCAAATCATCCCCCCAAATCCTGTGGAACTGATGTGTATTATTCAGAGTTTAGTCTGGGGCCTCTCAGGATATAGCATAATCTGCTCGGAGGGAGAGGAATTTGTACTGACGTGTAGAGGGTTTAGGGGCTTTCTTCTTTCCGTTCTGGCTCGGGGCACAGTGAAAAGCAGGAAGTACAGTCCAAGGTTTAAAAGAACACTTCACATAGAGCTCTGGAGCAATACCACCCCCTCCTTGCGTTTTTAGGGGAAAAAAAAATGTTGGAACATAGAACTAAGCCCAACAGTGGCATTCCTGGAATATTTGAAGTGACACTCATCTTTGAACAAAGGCTCTGTGCCTCCACAAAGGGGAAACAAAACCTGCTCCTTGGCCTCACTGTGTCTGGGTCCTCAGGAGCCTGAGCTCTTTGAGGTGGCATCCTGCCAGCGGGATCCGCTCAGCCCTGGTAGGACACAACAGGGGAAAGATGTTAGAAAGTGATGCCGTCTCCCCAAATCTTTCTCCGTGTGTTCCCTGCAAACGGCCAGCGCCCTGCATTGTGTATACACATTGCATCTCCTGAACCGACAGCAGGGCTACAGATAAGGGCTCAGCTGTCTTATTCAGACACTAGCAACATAAAGAGAAAGGGAAACAATCCCTCTGACAGGAAAAGAGGAACCTGGTCTTTATCCCCAAAGACAGAAACTCTTTGTGTTTAGAATAAACACCTGAGGCTTTTTCAGGGGCCAAGAAAATGTGTATCATGTTTATTATCTGCAAGAACCACTTCATAAATCCTTTTCATTTAGAAAGACTAGGCCTGACATAGCTTTTGTATTTTTTTTCTTTCCCCAGTTAAGCAGAACCACTCACTGCTCCAAATGGGGCCCGTTCATTATTAAAAGTCATTGCTTTGGGGATATTTATAAATCTGTCTTAAAATGATAACCATGGGGTCTTGACAAATTAACTAAAAAGCTTCCCCTAAGGTGGTTTGGGTGGTTTTGCTAAGACATTTATTTTAAGAGGAACTCTTGGTAGAATTTATCGGCACATTACTTCATACATTCCCAGCATTCAATTATTTCCCGACTAAGGATATGATAATTCCTCTCCTCCCAGTAATGCAAAAAATGAAATTATCCTCAAACAATTCTAGGTTGGTACTAGCCCTTATGTTAGTAATTTTAGGAATGCCCCCACCAGAAGCTATAAATTATATAAAATCTAAGGCTCAGAAAAGGGGGAAGCATGAAAGAGTGAGACAAAACAGTGGTTAGAATTTCAGATAAATGCTGGTAACCTGAAGAACAATGAATCAAATAGGAACTAAGATGGAGGAGGGATTGTTCACTCCCCAGGTGAGGTCGAGGGCTTGGAGCCAACCAGAAAGGAAATCTGAAGTCCCCATTACTTGGCACTGTCTAAGGTAGACATAAGTGGAGATTTTAGTTTGTTCCGTCACTAAAAAACAAGAAGGCAGCGCCGATAATGATCCTTGATATCATTTCCTCTGGAATGTACAACAGTCCATGTTTCTGCTTGGTAGTCACCACCGGACATGCGTGAGTCAGACTGAGAGGTGGGGGTTTGCCCAGACTGCTGATGGATCCAGTGGGATGTCGGGCCTGGGAGAGGTGGTCTTGCCACGCTTCTTGCCTTTCAACTCATCTTGTACCAAGGGGCTTGGGTGGGTTTTTAATCTCTGCATAAAGAATGCATTGAATCCTCTATGAATTAAACCAACAACCAGCTGGCAATTATCTGGTATTTAGGGGTGGTGAGAGCATTTAGCATATGTGTGGGCCAAAATATGCTACCCACAGTTCTCTCAATTTATTAGAGTCCATGGGAATAGTAGATTTTCTGGATTTTTTGTTTATGTCTAGACTTACTCAGATAGCCATGGCTGTGCATACCATGTTGTAAGGACCTCTCAGAGGCCCTCAACTCATTAGGATTCTACTAGGAAACCTCTGGCTCAGAGAACTGTCTCACCATGGTCTCTCTCCATGCAAAGGGTAGCAATATTACATCCATTATCAGACTGCTCCTGCCTCTGTCTGCGCCAGGCATATTCCACACTGGAACTGAATGCTTGGTTAACCTGGTTGGTGAGGCAGGAAGGAAGGGCTTGCTCCATGTCACTCTTCACATTCTCTTAAAATTTCATCTCTCTTCTACTCTTCCATACTGTACTGTCCAATGCCACCAGGACTGAGTGGGCAAGTCTGAAGCACATTTCCACACAAATAATGAAGAGTAAAAGGAAGCCTAGCTGGAAAGGTAGATTAGACCCAGATGGTGGAAAAGGTCACATTTGCCTTGCTGGCATGACATTTAGCAGGTTCCTTGAAACGTGTGGATAGTCATAGAGAATGACGACATGATTCTGCCCAAGCAATATTGGCTTTTGTTTTTGGTGTTTGGGTCTCTTTCTTTGGGGGGGAAGGGGAGTATTGTTTTGTAGGGGCTTTGATTGTGCTGAGAAGGTAAGGCTGAGATACCAACATTTAAAATCTTGTGCAGAGTTCTTTTTGTTATTTTTTATGTTATTTTAAATAGGTACTAAGAAACTCAGCATTAAAAAAATCGACCTGCTAAGTAAGTTTTTCTCCAGTTGTGGTCTGAGGACCCTCTGCCTCAGAATTATCTGGAGGGCTTTCAAAATGCAAATTCCTACACTTTACCCCAAATCTGCCAAACCAGAATCCCTAGAGTTGAGGCCTGAGAGTATGGTTTTATCATTCTTCCCAGGTAACTTCCATGCCAATTGTAATAAGGGTGGCACCTGCCAGCAGACAGGTGAATTCAATTTAAACGCACGTGACGAGCAAACTGTGGGCGTGTGTCTTTGTGTGCAGTTACTGCTAAATCAGATTGTTGACCGTTCTGATTACTGCTGCAATCCTTCTCCTGTGGCGAGGGGAGCCCTGCTCACTCACCCAAAGACATCCTCAAAACCCCAGCTGAGCCTTTTGTTTATGTAGCCATTTTGTGTCTTACAGTTAGGTGGTATGAACAAAAACTACAAAAATCACAAACAGTTTTAAAAATCTTAAAAATATAGAGTCAAAGTCATGCTTTAAAAGAACAACAAGAAGAACCCTCTCAATTCGTCCAAAGACATAACTTGATCAGATTTTTCCTCTTCGGGTTCTAAGCGACTAGAAGTGGTAGGCAGGAGCTTGAACAGAGAGGGTCTAGGCATGGCCTGCAAGCTGGAATCCTCCCAGCCTGGCTTCTGTTTGGAAGTGTGAGGGGACACTGCGCTTAGGCCTGTTTCGTTTCTTTTTGTAGATTATGCAGCAGATGAGTGACCATCGCTATGACAAGCTCACCGTGCCTGATGACAGAGCTGCAAACTGTATATATCTCAATATCCCTGGCAAAGGGCACGTCTTACTGCACCGGACCCCAGAAGAGTATCCAGAAAGTGCAAAGGTAAAAAACCATCCCTTCTGACCCTGTGGCTGGGTAGGCCTCCCTGGGAATTTCTGCACAATAAAGTGACAAATAAGGGCCTCTTTTTCCTCTATACATCTCAAATCATGAAGAAAGCAGAAAGGATAATGTAATTTAAGCAAAGGAAAGTTTATTTAACTCACTTTTCTCATTCATATCATCGGTCACTGATGTAAGCACAGTAATTGAGGTGATTGTGCCCGGTATTCAAAGCTCTTCAAATAAGTACCCTGATCACTCAAAGCTCTGCCCTAGCTCTGATTAAATTTATGTTCCTACACTCAGATCCTCATCAAGTATAAAGACCTACAATTAGATGATCAACTGTATCATTTTCTGAAAGATCTGAGCTGCCCCTCAGAAAAAGTAATTTGTTTTTTAAGGAAGAAGAGTATAAATGACCCAGAGTGGTGGGCCCTCGTTGTCAGGGCTGCAAAAAGAAAAGGGTGTACATCCTACGTGGCAAAAAGCTCTTTGTTGAAAAGACAGAGCAGAAAGAAGCATGGTACATTGGAAATTAGCCAACTGGTCCCTCCAGGGGTCTCTGCCTTTGTGTTCCTACAACGGGGTTGACCTTGGATCTGGGATTCTTTCTCCATCTAAGAAAATCTTCCTTGTCTTTCATAGCTCTCTGCTAATCTCATCTGTACGCTTTTATAATTTGAACTTTATCCTACCAAGCTGAAATAAGAGTACTCACGCACAAACTTTTCAAGTGTCCATATTTTCCAGATACTCAGCACCTTCATCGCCACCCACTGGAACAAGATAGTTGTATTTTAATACTGTGCATTACAAAAGAGCCTTCAGTGGACATTGATTTTACTTTTTTGTGTCTTAAACTTTGCAAATAATAGAAAAAAATGATGCTGCCTTCTAAATATACAATACTATGTAATTACTAGTTGTCCTTCTAATGACAGTCTTCTCGAAACAGATAAAAAGAAAGGGTTGCAGTGAAACATAGATAATTTCTATTTCCATAGCTGAAATCTGAACCTGAGGAAAGCATGGGACTCATGACACCAGCCTGGGGCTGAGTGAGCTTCTGATGAATAGTGGCTCTCATATTTAATGTGCCTTGGGGGTGTTAAAAATGCAGGATCCTAGGCTCAGTGCCCATAGCTCATTGGTTAGGGCACTGGCCACATATACCAGGGCTGGTAGTTTCAAACCTAGCCCAGGTCTGCTAAACAACAATGACAACTACAACAAAAAATTAGCCGGGCATTGTGGAGGGTGCCTGTAGTCCCAGCTACTTGGGAGGCTGAGGCAAGAGAATCACTTAAGCCCAAGAGTTTGAGGTTGCTGTGAGCTATGATGCCATGGCACCCTACCAAGGGCGATGTAGGGAGACTCTGTCTCAAAAAAATAAAAACAAATTGCAGGTTCCTGGACCCCCACCCTAGAATCTGCAATATCAGCAAGACCCCAGGTCACAGAATTCACTTTGAGAAGTACAGGTCTGGATCGTCCATGCCTCCTTAGCACAGTGGTGATCTGACAGCCACTAACCACTTCCTGATTCAGCCCTGCGTCTAGCAACAATAATGATAATGTCAGCAACATTCCCTGTGCCAGGCCCTACAGCAAGCATTGTGACATGTAGTATCTTATTTAGTCTTTATCACAGCCCGACCAGGGCAGTGTCACCATTCCAGTCTCAGAGAGAAGTAAACCAAGGCTCTGAGGAAATTCACTTGACTGAAATTGTACTTTGAGTAGTAAGTAGGTTGAGAGTAGTAGTCGTGCCAGGCGCAGTGGCTCACCCCTGTAATCCCAGCACTCTAGGAGGCCAAGGAGGGTGGATTGCCTGAGCTCAGGAGTTGGAGATCAGCCTGAGCAAGAGTGAGACCCCGTCTCTACTAAAAATAGAAAAACCTAGCCGGGTGTTGTGGCACATGCCTGTAATCCCAGCTACTTGGGAGGCTAAAGCAAGAGGATTGCTTGAGCCCAGGAGACTGAGGTTGCTGTGAGCTATGCTCATGCCACAGCACTCTACCCAGGGTGACAGAATCAGACTCTGTCTCCAAAAACAATTTTTAAAAAAGAAAGAAAGAAAGTAGCAGCATGGTGACAGACTGGGTTTGGCGCCCTGTCTGGCTGCAGGACTCTTCACTGACCACAGTTCTGAAGTTTAAGGACAACAGTGCTTCCCTAAAGAAGCACAGTAGACTAATTCTAGGCAGTGCATTTTTAAGTCATCTTGTTTCTTAAGATGTGCTTTGTTTGATCATCAGAGAAAAAAAATCTGTGGACTCTTAACTGGAAGTTTTGACACATATTATTCGTGTCAAAAGATGCTAATAAAATTCACCCTTGTGATTTAAAAGCAGTTTGACCTGAAATACTTAAATTATATTTTGTCACGTTTTTCCAGTGGCGTTGGTAAGGAAAGAAACACGATAGTTGGCCATCACATTCAGACTGAAGACACGGCCACCAACTTCCGTGTACCACTTAATCGAGCAATGACAATGGCAGAGGAAAGGCGTCTCTAGCAACAGCCGCATTCTGACACATCTTTGGCTTTGAGGTTAAGGCACAGAGCTAGTGGTTAACCAGTTGCTGCCAGCTCAGTAGGGATGGCTGTGAAGATGTGTGTGGCAGAGACTGCACATGTGCCTAGGGGGTTAATAAGCGAAAAGCCGAAACCCACGAGCTGAATTGATGCCTTTACTCCTGGGGGCGCTGAAACAGGTGGAAATGTTCTTCTCCTTCTTTTCCTCTCCCCCCATTCCCCCTGTAGGTTTATGAGAAGCTGAAGGACCATATGCTGATCCCTGTGAGCCATTCTGAACTGGAAAAGGTGGACGGGCTGCTCACCTGCTGCTCAGTTTTAATTAACAAAAAGGTAGACTCCTGAGCCGCAGAGCCTCTCCCTGGTCGCCGGCAAGACCGCACAGGCAAAGCCCTGTCTCTGTACCCACTCCCGTTGTTTTCCTTGACAATCTACTGTGCCACTGTGCTACTAACTCTTGTTTACAAAAATTTAATTTCTCAGTTTAATTGCTTCCTTCTGCACCCCTCCCTGCCCTCCCCCCACGGTGGTCCCTACGCTATGGATTTGCTAAATGAAGTAAGCAGCCTAGAAAGTAGAGATCTAATGAATGATTGAAATGTGATTAATAATAGTAAGGAAACACTCATTTTAGCGTCTGTCATATCAGTGTGAAAATCGTTCCGTTGCCAGTATATTCTGAAGGACACGTCCTGGTTCCGTCACACGAGCTCCGTTTTTTTCTCTGTATCGTGAGTCACGTTTGGTTCCTGAGAAATTCTCTGATCCAGGGATCCTCCCCCTTTCTCTCTCTTTTTCCTTCTGAATTCTGAAAACTTTTTCTCCAGTTACTTGCCTTTCCCACTTCTGTTACAGCCACTTTGACCTTGGGTAAAATTCCAGGTCTTGCCTTCTGGATACCCTCCTACAGGTCCACCCGCCTGACCTTGGTCTCCTTGGCCACCAGCTATGTCTGCCACCACCAAGCCCTCAGCCCCACCCGGGGCAAGCAGGCTCCTCCACAGATCAAAATCAGAGAGCTGCTATTTGCGGGAGTGTTCGCCAAATAGAGGCACATCCTGAGGGGATTTGCCCCAGAGAGCTAAATTCCAAAAGAAGTGGGGCACCACACCTAGGAAGCACCAGAAGGTTGCTAAGAGATCAAGATCAAGAAGTTCGGAAACACCCCATGGGCACAATGTCTTAGAAAGCCTTTAAGTCACAATCCATGGATTTTTGTCTCCTTCTGGCCATCTGTGACCTGGCAGGGCCTTATTTTCTTCCTTCAGCTCATTTCTGTCCCTGTCCCACCTGACTCACCCTATTTCCAGCTTTCTACCCCTTATAGTTATCTTGGTCTAGCAAAGATAAAAATACGTTTTTTTCAAAAGAGACAACACATCTAAAGGTGATTATTGATGGTCTAGCGTGAGCCAGAGGGAACAGCTCTCCATGGTCAAGGAGCAAGTTCAGGAAGTGATCACCTTGATGCTTGAAACCTGCCTCAGGCAACGGACAATTCTCCTTTGAAACATCCATGAATATTGACCGTGGAATTCGATTCAGAGTTCTTCTCTAGCCTTCAAATTCATACAACTTTCAGCTGACATTGGTCTCTTACAAAGAACAATGCCACACCGAAGGAAGAGATCATTCTTTTACCCAAATCTGAAAGACTCAGTCTGTTAGTGAGCCAACATAGTGGTACTTTCCGAGGATTGGTAACTGATCAGGCATGTTATCAAACTTCCTAGTCATCTCCACCTTTCCTGTATTGCCTGTGGCTTGTTGTTCAAGATTCAGAATCAAGGAGATTAAGAAATAGCACTTCAAGTCTTGCTCTGCTCACCTCTGTGTTTGCAATCAAACATGCCTTATGTTTGGTGACTAAGAGAGAATAAGAATAACCGTCATTCATTTCATCCCCCCAGCTCCCAGCAGATGGAAAGGAGAAACCCCTGAGAAAATTAAGACATCTTTAACTGCTATCTGTCTTTCTCATTTATTTGATGATTCTACACCAGAAAGTTTAAAGAATTTCTTCTCCTCCTTTTCTTCCTTGTTGCTTAACTTTGAAATTCCTATCACACGCAAAATATAATTATACCCATCCTGTAAATGAAACACATCTTGATCACTGTCATGTTTTGGACCGTCTCATCATGGATGAGTAATAACATTTTCCCAGAGAGAGAATAAATGTCAGCCACATGTCCAACTTCACAGATTGTTCTGGGCGGTTATGGTTGCCCTTTTGGGTTAAATCTGGCCCTGCCCTGGCAAAAGCAGAAATTCTCCCTGTGAGAACTTAACATCTCAAAAACAACCACAGGAAAAAGTAGCCCCATCAGCCAGTTTAAGTTTATTGGCATATAATTTTTAATATCCTTACTTCTATCATCCCAAGTCAATGAACTGTCCTCTCTTACATTTAGTCAATTGCAAGTGAATAGATTTTTCTTCGTAACAATTTGTTCTGCACAAGGCTGCTTTTTATTTTATGTCTCTTTTGATTTTTCTTTCTTTCCTTTCTTGTCTTTTTCTTGAGAAACCGCTTAGAATCCGGGTGCCTCTTCTACATTTCACTCGGCACTGCTATCTTACCTACTTGGCTGGCTTCTTTGGACTCCCTCTGGGGACAAGGTGATGTGAAAACCTAAATTATTTGCAGCGTATTACTATAACTTCTCTGATGTTCTCATAAGCATAATGTGACCTTTGCAAAGGAAACATTCCCCTCTTGTCCATTGTGACTTATAAGGATGGATAGGCAAACAAATTTCTTTTTGACGTCATAAAGACATGAGGGATTATATTTAAATAGGTAAAAGTTAAGTTAGAATTACTTAGCCAATATGATTCAATTTAATAAAAGGATGCTATAGAGAAAATATATTATCTAGCATTATTTCGTCAATTATAATAAATTGCTATAGAAATCAGCAGGCAGATCTTTCCAATTGATTGCTGTTTTAAGCTACTGTGAACAGATTATTAAGGTCATCTCTTTATCTCTAAGGGGGGGCACATAGTCTGTAGATGAATAATGTGACCTATAAGAGTTGCATGTTAGTCTTTGAAATTATTTACTCTTTAACATTCTACAAACCTCAGACGTGATTTCAACACTGTACTAGACTTGTGCATTTTATTTTCCTGGTCATCTCGTTCCAGCCAGTGTATGGTCATCCACTCTGTGTGCCAAAACCAGTAATGCCTTTCATGACCCTTTAGTCCAGAGAAGTTCTGCACTGATTTTAGTCTCTTGCTGTCCCAATCCTACATGTATACCAATCACGATGGAATAAAGTGTGAGTTGTACTGTGGTGAACAGCGTATGTCTCTTTTTTTGCAACAGAAACTGCCATGGGGAATGAAGTCATCATTTCTTGGCCATCAGGCACGCGATGTTTCTCTCCTGTCCTCTAGGCTATCAAATTGGAAATACCATACCTATAAATCAACTGCCATCAAAGCTTGGGTTAAAATGATACTGCAAGTAATACTTTATACTTCAGGCACTTAAAAAGTATGCATATTGGGCAGCACCTGCCCAATATGGCTCAAATGAGTGGGGGCGCCGGCCCCATATACCAGAGGTAGTGGGTTTAAGCCAAGCCCTGGCCAAAAACTGCAAAAAAAAAAAAAGTATGCATGTTTCGTCAGATGGGGTGGCTCATGCCTGTAATCCTAATAATCTGGGAAGCCAAAGCAGGTGGATCATTTGAGCTCAGGAGTTTGAGACCAGCCTGAGCAAGAGAGAGACCCCCCTCTCTAAAAATAGCTGAACATTGTAGTAGGCACTTGTAGTCTCAGCTACCTGGGAAACTGAGACAAGAAGATCACTTGAGCCAAAGAGTTTGAGGTTTCGGTAAGTTATGACACCATAGAACTCTACCGAGGACAACAAAGGGAGACTGTTTCAAAAAAAAAAGTATGCATATTTTGCACACTGGGCCAGAAGAGCTTGATTTCACCTGTGTTTCTGCTAAAGGGCATCCCTTTCTCCCTTCTACTGTGGACTGTAGTCAGCCCACTATGTGGTTCAATGACAGAGGCAGGTGGATGATTTTTTTCTACACTTATGCAAGAGTTTGGTTTTTGTTTTACAGTAAGCATTATTTAGGAACTGTGAGGGCTTTTTAAATGTAGCCTTTTTATTTCTTGCACTTTTGCCAGCTGAATTGTTTTCTTTTTCTGATTGTAAAAGTAATAACTTCACTCTGTAAAAATACAATTAAAACACTACTGGAATGTTCAAAAGAAGCACAGAAAAACAATGATCCCAAATTTTATCACTCGGAGATAACCACTATCAACATTTTTGAGAATATCCACACACCTATACACAGATAGAGATATAAATACGGAATAATTTTATACAAGCGTGTGGTTCTGTAGTCTGATTCTGTCACTTAGCAATATATTGCAGGCTTCTCTCCATCTCAACAAATAAAGATCTACAACATCAATTTTAATAGCCCATAATATTCCACAGCATGGTTGTTGAAGCAGCTCTTTTTAAATTATATGGAGTCTCATATCACAGATGGTCAGTGCACCCACAGGACTACCAGCCGGGGGTCTTCAGTCTATCAAAAATGCACTGCTTATCAGTCTTCACATAGCCGCAGAGTTAGTTCAAGCTGGTGTATTCTTATCATAACTGAATGGCAATATGAATGCTTACCAGATGCACAGGCCAGTACTAAAATTCCTTGGGGGAGGTAATTTATTTAATCACAACTTCTCAGTTGACGTGCATTGATTAGTCCTGCATTTTTTTTTTGTAACAGACAGAGTTTAGCTTTGTTGCCAGGCTGGAGTACAGTGGCCTGGTCATAGCTTGCTGCAGCCTTGAATTTCTGGGCTCAGGAGATCCTCCTGCCTCAGCCACCTAAGTAGCTGGGACTCCAGGCAGCTGGTTAATATTTTTTTTTAATTTTTTAAAATTAATCTCTCTGTCCAGTCCAGTCTCAAACTCCTGGCCTCAAGTGATCCTCCTGCCTTGGCCACCCAAAGCCCTAGGATTACAGGTGTGAGCCACGATGCCCAGCCAGTTATGCATTATTTAGGTTGGCATCGGCATGGGCAATGAAGCTAAAAAAAAATATACCAAATGCCACCTCTGCAAACCTGCCCTGAGCCCCAATAAGAAATGACCCTCCACCTAAGTGCCAGAGAACGGTGCTCCTCACAGGGCAGAGGGAGGTACTGTTCAAAGGACAATGGGCAGGGGTCTCCTGCCTGATCTTCTAACCTTCCACGAGAATGAGGGAAGGTAAGAGTGAGAAAAACACCCTCTTCCGACAAGCTGCAGATTCCAGAAATGGAAATTTTGTTCAAAGAATGCTAATCAACAACAATTTTAAATTTATTTATTATTTATTTTGAGACAGAATCTCACTTTGCTGCCCTGGGCGGAGTGCCATAGCATCATAGTTCACAGCAACCTCAGTCTCTTAGGCTTAAGCAATCCTCTTGCCTCAGCCTCCCAAGTAGCTGAAACTACTGGTACCCATCACAATGCCTGGCTATTTTTACAGCTGGGGGGGTCTCACTCTTGCTCAGGCTGGTCTTGAACTCCTGATCTCAGGTGATGCGCCTACCTCAGTTTTCCAGAGTATCAACAACAATTTTAGACAAGCGAGCACGCACTTCACAGGTGCCCACACGCTGCTAAGCTCTGCAGTGCAGCGCCTGTCTTCCAAGAGCGTTGGTTTGGGAGGAGCAGAGAAAGATGGACTGCACAAGGACACACAACTGAAGGTAAGAACTATAACAGCATGATGCGGTGGCTGTTCCCAAGCTGAGGAGACAACAGCAGATCGGGGTTTGATCTGAGCTCAGAAAAATAGCCCTAACTTCAATAGGTAGAGATGGGGGAGGGCTCTAGAGACTGAGGGACGAGCATGAGCAAAGGCGTGGGGGCGGGAGACCATAGTATGTACTCCAGAAGCCAGTATTTGTTAAGCACCCGCCATGCACCACTTAACTCGGCTGGGCCCTGGACACACAATGGTGACAGTCTCTGGTCTCCTGAAAAATGCATGCAATAAGAAAAATAGACATTAAACAAGTGACAGCTGGTGTGATAAACATTATGAGAGGAGAATGGGGTGCTCAGAGCACGCAGTAGGGGCAAGCAAGTGGATTTGTTTGGCTAAAACATGGAATAATTACAATGGGATGATGAGACCGTGGTAGGTGGAATGTTGAGGGCCTTGCCTGCTAACTTAGTGTATTTGGACTGAACTTGGCAGTCTGTGAGGATGCCCTGAAGACTTTTCAGTCAAGAAGTGATATTATTGGAGCCTGATCTGGCAGCATTATAGGGGACAACGTGGGACTGAGAAAGACTAGTGTTCCTCCAACTTTAATTTCTCCAAGTTTAATTTGTTGTTTAAACATCTCTTCTTACCACCAAAATGGAGGCTGAAAGCCAGACAATTAACTCTCTGTATTTTCTTTCTTGAAGAACAGATTAATAAAACCTCCCCCTCCCAACTCCAAAGGGACATTTTCAAGGCAAATGAGATAAAAAGAACTGAAGGGTTCTTCGGAGAAAAAGTATAGTGTCAATATCATTATCATCATCATTATCCTTATTAACTCCTATCACAGCAAGCTTGGATCCCATCAAAATGTCATCTTCTATTTGAAACATCAATCACCTGCTCCAGAAATAACTCAGGAGTTTCATCACAGATGTCTGTGAGCCGGCCTGACAGCCTCCAAGATGAATTCACAGGTTTCCTCGGTTGCCGACACGGCTGCTCTACGGACACACTTGCATTGGGGGACTGTTGGAAAATCAGAATGTTCCCATCTCCCTTCTCCCACCAAACACTCATTTCTAACTTAGTGAAAGCTGGGCCACTTACAACACAAGATAACCGGGGTTATCAGGCTTTTAGGAGAACTCCTAAGTGCCAGATATATTACTGTCACTATAAATAAATAAAAGATTCAAAGACGTAGGCCAGCAAACCACTTGAAAAAATATTGCCCGGACTGGCCAGGGAGGCCTAATAGCAATAATGGGGCTTTAGGTCCTGGGAAGTCCCTCTACTTGTAAATAGAAAGTTCTGTTCTTTAGTTATGAATACAGAGAAAGAACTTGGGGGAATTAACACAGGCCTGAGAAGATAGCTTCTTGTTTTCCTATGCTTATACTTTTTCACCCAGCTTTATGGAGGTATAATAGACAAATTTAAAATGGCCTGTATTAAAAGTATACAACTTGAGGGGCGGAGTGCAGTGGCTCACACCTGTAATCCTAGCATTTAGGAGGCCAAGGCAGGTGGTTTGCCTGAGCTCACAGGTTGGAGACCAGCCTGAGCCAGAGCAAGACATCTTCTCTAAAAATAGCCAGATGTTATGGTGGGCACCGATAGTCCCACCTACCGGGGAGGCTGCAACAAGAGAATTGCTTGAGCCCAAGAGTTTGAGGTTGCTGTGAGCTGTGATACCAGAGCACTCTACCCAGGGCGACAAAGTAAGACTGTCTCAAAAAAAAAAAAGTATACAACTTGACACTTTGATATACAATCGAGTTAACTAACATATTCATCACCTAACAGAGTTCTCAATTTCTTTTTCTTTTGGTAAGGGGGAGGGGGTGTTGAGAACATTTAAGAGCTTTCCTCTTAGCAAATGTCAAGTATACAATACAGTATTGTTAACTGTAAGTCACATTCTATACATTAGATCTCCAGGACTCATTCATCTAATATAACCAAAACTTTGTGCCCTTTGACTGAAATCTTCTTGTTTTCTCCTTTAAATGTAATTTTTAAGTTCCCACTCATGTACAAGGAAGTTTACTGATTAGGTAGGTCTTTGGGGCAAGAACTCAGAGGACAAATGTTCGGAATTAAACTAGGATACTATGTGCTATGTGTTGAAATTTCTCTTTATCCTATGAGGGTGCAACAACTCTGCATATTTCACATTGCTGCAAGAAAAGTTCAGGAACCAAATAGTTTCTGATTCTAAGGAACAGCGGGGCTTTGTAGAAATTAGCTGTGCTACCTCTGGAAGGAGCTTGCAGGATAAACACTGATTCACAGTTTCAGTGAAGGCTTAACATTCCCCGGTGGGATGTGAACAAAGTAATCTTTTCACTTACAGGGGACCCAGATGACTATATGAGGTCCCCTAGATCCAACGCTGGTACAGCACCCTGGGGCTTTCTTTCTAAGCTTGATGGTAACTGAGCGCGACAGAAGGAACCTTGTTCCCGGCCAAGATGTTAACAGGGAGTCTGGTAGGAAGTAGAATTCGTCCCTACCTATGTCAAATGAAGAGATTTTGACAAATGTCT